ATAGGGGCCACACCAGGCCGCTAAGGGGCCAGCCAACCCCATTTCTGAACTAAACTAAACTGAACTAAACTAGTTGAAGTTTATTCAATAAACTGTAGTTAAATGAGTCAGGCTTAATGTGATGCATAAACTCAGCTGTTAGCTGAGAGCAGCTCTCTAGAGTTTCAAACTGGTGTCTTTTTACCCTGCTTGAAGATGCAGATGATTGACTCTGGGATCTTCTGAATACAATGCTGAACTACCACATTCTCCCTTGTTATGGGTGCAAAAATGCCCCAGACTTACATTTAACATTTTTATGTATGTATGCATGTATGTATGTATGTATGTTTCTTTTTTAAAAAAAAGCTTTGCAGAAATTAATTTTTTAAACCTTAACAATCTAAAAGATAGCAACAATGTAAAAGCAAATTAAAAAGTATGCTTCACTGAAATTTACCAAAATAGAATGATCTTTGAAGTCCCTCTAAAAATTAGGGATATCTTCCTATTATTATTTTGTTTATAACTATAACTGCTGCTAATATTTCAAAAAACAGAATTACATGACAAATGCATATCATAAGGAAAATAAATACAGAAATAGAATAAAATGATCCTTGTGTATTAATATCCTTTTTCATTGGTCATTCAGAAAATTAATATAAGGACACAGAAGATGTTGAAAAAAGTGGCTTCTGTGCTTTTAACCATTTGTGACTGATAACTGTTGCCCCCTTTCTGTCACTGCTCTAGAAAACAAGTTTCTACTTTTTCTAGCAACTACTCTTGGAAAATAACAATTGCTGCCAGAGGCAAACAATCCTGATATTTTCAGTCATTCTATTTTTCCCCCCCAATTTGCTTTGTTCAATAAGATGAGGTAGGTACTGGATGGTAAGAACCCCTGCCCCACTGCCTCTGAGCAATCCGAAGCCCTCCAGATATTGAACTTCGCTTCTTGCATCCCACGCTGTGGGCTGTGTTGGCTCTGGCTGCTGGGAACTGAAACTCAATACCACTTGGAAGACTACAGGTTCCCTACCCCTGCTAAAGACTCCCCTCTTTGGGGTACCTGTCAAAACAGAGTAAGTTAAAGGTCCTAGAAATCTCCCCCTTCCTCACTTCTGAGAGCCATCTTCGCTGTAGGAAAACACACCGCATCTGATCCATTTTGCCTTACTGTTTATGCCTGATATGCCTTCTTGGATTGCACTGGAATAGCAATACTAGCTTTGTTAATTTAGAATAAATATTGTAGGAAAAGGGTGCTACTTCAAGTCTTAGCACATTATCCCTGCGCTTGGACAACAGATTACCCTAGACTAAAGGTAATTGTGGGAATCCAGTCATTATCTTGACATAAATCAAACCATTGCTTTAAGGTGTAATAAGGTTTATTTGTTTGGACATTGCATTTTATAGGAATACAGCAATTGTGGTTTTTGTACCTGCATTTAGTCTTGTTTCATATCCTGTGTGTGTGTGTGTGTGCATTTTTGCATTTATGTATATGGTTTTGTTTTAAGCATCTCAAAGTTCACTTATTTTTCAGGTGCTGGACAACATGGAAACTCTTGGTGTACCCCCCCCCCCCCCGTCGACAAGAGGTCTGGAGCCGAAGGTGGGAGAATGCAATCAGCACAGCCAATTAACATGCAAAGATGTTAAATGAAAATATTGTAGAGAATTAAGGGGCAGGAGAAGGAGTGTTGGCAGTCAGGAAAACTGTGACTTAAGACTGTAAAGAGAGGGCCAAGCTGGACAAGATATTAAATACATATCTTTATTTAGAATTGAGGCGAGGGCTGTTACTGGGGTTTCAGAGTACTAATCAGTGGATAATAAGGTATACTAAGAAGAAGTACGTTCAGCCATTGTTTTAATTTGCATCCAGATAAATACAGCAAAGCATTGCCACAATCATGCCTAGGAGATCTAGTGTGGAGCCATCCTAGCACAGCTACAATTGCCATTTTGTCTGAAAGGTAGTGTTAATCAATGTTGCTCTTTTTCGCCTTCTCTTAACAGGTGATAGAAGTTGCGAGATGGAAGAAGGGGATTTCCGAATTGCATATTGGGGTGGAAAAAAATGTTAGGCAAACCTTCGTTTGCAAGGTAAGTCTGATACCAGCCCCATTAGGTAGGCCAGACCAAGAAATCAACTCCACAAGAAGGCTAAAACTACTTTTATTGAGATCAGCTAAAATAACAGAATCTGACAAGTCTGATTGTGCTGTGATTCCTCCCACTTCTTATGCTTCAGTGAATGAGGGAGGTGTCTGCCTGAGCCACTTTTGAACGTCACCATGTTGTTTGGGACTTAAAAAGTCTTTCAGCCCCTTTTGCCTAGGCAGTGGCTCCTGCTTATCTCCATCAGGGTCATCTTCCTTAATCTCTACACTTGTGCAAACTATAGAACAGACCTGCACAACATGCGGCCCACCAAGCCGCCTTGTGTGGTCCACTAGCTTTTTTAAAAAAGTCAATACATTTGCTGCTGCTGCTGCCCCAAAAAACGTGCTGTCGAGTGTCTCCAACGCCTTGCTGCTGCCACCCTGCTAGCCGCCAAACAGCCGATCAACCCCCCCCAGCTATTCCTTTGTGGCCTGTGATTATTTTTAATTTATCAGTGTGGCCCTTTCTCCTCTACAGGCCTGCCGTAGAATCTCTCCTGAATCAGATGTTGATGTACTTGGTGCATATCTTAATGAAATGAAGTATTTATCCCCCCACTTTAAAATGTCCTTCATGTGATGCTGGTTCTTTCATAAGCCTGGGGGGGTGGGGTGGGCGGGGGAAGAGAGAATGATCAAAAGTCTTTTTGTACAAAAATGATGTCCACTCTCAGTGTTAATTCAGAGCACTGTGGAAGGAATGTGACATACATCGATTGGCCTGTAACCTTTTGCATTTGAACCTGTGGTTGGCTGGGGGGACTTCCTGGACCTGCACTAGAAGCGGCAAGAAATTGGAAGGGGGGATCAGTGAAGACACCTTTTTTTTTTTTAAAGCCACATCTCTTAAGACAGTATTATTCAATTCTGATCAGCATTTTAATCTATTTCACTATAGATTAAGGCTGTACAAGGAAAAATGGTATTTCAGTACGTAACTTAAGCCAAGCCTGTCTCTTCCCATGCAAACTCTGGAGGGTAGCCAGGCAATCCTGAAAAAATATGAAACTGTTTTAAGGGTTGCTAACAGATGTTGCAGGAACATCCCTGCCTCCTGCAAACCATCTTTGCCCCTTCGCATTTGACACATTGCCCAGCCCTTCTCTCTGTGTGGGTTGATACAAATGCTTTGCTTCCTTGTGTGCAAGACCACTGCTTGGGCTATGTTTCCATTTGCAGAAGCTTTCCTGGATCCAAGCTCTTTTTTCCTAATGAGAAGACCACTTCCAATCCATAAAAGATTACCTTTCAACTTGATAAGAAATGACTAAATCTAAACTACTGCAATAAAATCCATAAGAGAGTCTAATAACCGAACGACAAATGTTACAGTAATAGGTTATATTAATCGTATTACGAATGATTCATACGGCTGTATCTTTGGTCAGTTTGTTGTGAGTGAATCTGGAGTTGGGACTAAAGTTTACTAACAATGGGCCAGATACAATGGTCAGTGTTTTAAATTACGGTGATATTTTTATTGCGTCGATAAAACATGACTTAGTGATACAGAGATCCCTGAATGGTCTGGAGAGATGACGTGTCTCTAGTTAAATTGGCTAGGTGATAAACCAACAGCTCCCTTACTCTGTCTAGAATAGAAATTCAAAAATTGGTGAAAGCTCCAGTCAGGCTGACAAAATTCCAATACAACATTATGACCCCATTTTTTGTCCCCACCCCCAGCATCGATCCCAGTCAAACCTAGACTAAATAAACACACTTTTTAGTTCTTTTATTTATTACATAGTGTGTGTTTCTCTTACTATTTTCTTGTGTTCATAATATTAAATATTGTTTCTAGGATGCATACATCTCCAATAATATCTACTCCAAAGGGGGAAAAAAAGCCAAACACTTTGTAGTTCTGCTCTTCAAACTTTCTAAAAGAATGCTGATAATCTTGCAGCCTGAGTTAAATTTAGCATATTTCTGGCCTGGCCTGTATGATCTAATATTTCTGGATACTTCATAGCTGTATATTTCATGATTAGCTAACTGGGATGTGTGGTCTGTTAATGTGAACAAATTATCAGCCATCTGTTGGAGATGCTTTAATGTGGATTCCTGCTAGGAGCAAGCTCTTGGTTCAGTGGTTTAAATGGCCCCCTCTAACTTTGTGAAGTTGAGAAAAGACATGACAAGATGAAAATACTCCATATAATTCAGCAAACAGTTTTAATCTTTGCATCAGTTCTTGCTGCCTTGCTGTGTGAGCATCTAAATATAGTCACCCACGACTTTGTTGTTTTGCATTTTCAATTTGTGTCTTCTTTTGTCTTTACAAACAGATTTACAGCATCGTCATCCTCCAATTACTACTGACTGTGGCAATTGTTGCCGTCTTCATCTTTGTGTAAGTCTTTATGGGTCCAAAATAGACAAAGCAGTCCAGGTGGAGATAGAACTGAGAATGCACGATGGACAATGACTACTGATACCTTGCCAGACGCATATCAGTCAGACAGAAGAGAGAGAAGGGCTGCACTTTTCCTCTTTTTTTGTGATGCATTTTGGCTTCCCCCTCCCCCTTTGGCTTCTGAGAGTAGGGAAATAAATTATGTTAGCTCCAGGGGAGCAGGGGGAACCTTAGTTCCTGATGCTCCAAAGCCTTCTGTAGCTTGCCCTGTTGTCAAAGGAGCAACCCTGATAAAGCTGTCCATTACCATTGTATGATGCTTCCAATGGCAGACTTCCCTCTCTACTTTTGGAGAGTGGAATCCCCAAAGTCCTATTATTCCTGAGATGTCCTAAAGGTATGGATTAGCATAATAGAGCTCTTTCACCAAGTTTCTGGGTTCTGACAGCGTAACTTAATTCCATCTGGAAATTCTAATCCTAAATGAGAGAGTTCTGCCCCTTTGCCCCCTTTTAAAAGCCATTCATTTTGATTTTACATTCTTCTAATTTAAAGAAAATAAACCTCTCTAGCAATTTCACAGTGGTGAAATTCTTCAAGTAACTGTCTTGCTATGACATTTGGGTGTGTGCTGTTACTTAGAAGCTGGAGGTAAAACCTTTATTTTATTCAAGTCTGGCAATTTATTTATCCCCTCCATCCCTATAATGTTATCAGCAGGGAAAGTGGTAATGTGTGTAGCTTCCCTCCACATGGACTAGTAGAGTTACTAGTGTATATATAGTGCATTCAAGCAGAAGTGAAGAAATGTATTTCCCTTTGGCTCCTTTTGTTCATATGCTGGAAACCTACAGAAGTGCAAAAAATTGGGTAAACTTGGTAACGAAAATGCCTATTTGCTTGAAAGCCTCTTCTTTGTATTAGGTATATATGTTTCAGTAACTGCATATCAAAAATACATAGCGAGTACAAACTAATCAGCAACTAGATGCAAGCCAAGCTCTGGGTGTGGCCCAGTTAATGGATGAGGTGTTAATGGTTCTTGAACACAAAATTCCAGTGGGAAATGAAAATGTAGACAATCTTAATGGAACTTTAGGCTAATTTATGTCAAAAGTGACTGACAGTCTAGTAATACTTGATCTCATGTGTCATTCTTCTCCACAGGACTCCTGTGAGCATTTATGTGATCAGTCACATTCCATTATATTATGTATCTTAGTAAGTATTATTCAGATACCATTGTTGATCCGTTGCTCTGCTGTAATCTTCCCTAACTTGGTGTTTCGGGAATACAATCGAAGAACTCCAAGCCATGACGGGAATTACCCATGATGTATTGGAATTCTGGTGCTGTAGCCCCAACCCAGATTGGGAAAAGCTGGTCTGTAGTTGACTAAGCTATAGCCTGTAAGATTCTCTGCTCTACTCTGACTTCCATCACCACCACTCATAAGGGTCTTATCACTGTGTAACTGCATTTGGTACTGCTTTTCAGAGGAAGTATGTCCTACCTTCTCAACTAAGCATAGTGTAATAAAACTCTATGAAAAGTCTGATAAAACTTTAATATGCATGTTCAATTGTACGGCTTAAAGGACTTTCTTTGAAAAAAGTTTACTAGATATAGAGGGTAGCTTGCTGTTTAGACTTGTCAGCATCCAGTTTGAAATAACTTGTCTTTTCTACCTTCCCAGTGGTGTATGTTTGATTTGTTACCTAGTGCTGGTGCTTTGTCAAAAGATCCAGTAAGTATCCTTAGGTAACATCTGTGATTTGATGATGATGCATCAAATTCAGAATCTGCTGGGAACTCTGGGAGGAAGGGTGGAGAAGTAGTAAAAGGGTTGGCATTCTGACAGTGTGGAAATACAGCCTTGCAAGATGATTTCTGCCATTTTTTGTCTGCAGCAGAATAGAGAGATGTAAAAATGAGGCCTACATGAGGCACTTCTCTTACTTCCAAATGATGGATGGGGAGATATGTTCATAGGTTTATAGTTGTTGTAGCTGAAAGATAAATTTGGATGAAAAGCAGAATAAGAATAAGAATCAAAGGGCTTAGGGTAGGTAAGCAATGAAAAATAATGGGAATGTCATCTATAGAATAGTTATACGGTAGTATAGCAATGAAGATGCACTGTCACAACCCAGGGATCCGAAAGGCCCCAGGAAAAGAGTTGTGGGTTCAGAAGAATTGGAGTGAAAACTTTCTAACATAGGAAATTGCCTGTATAATCTTTTTGAGGCTTTTTTTTTGTATCCCTTCACCAAAATATGGTTATTGTTGACTTTCTTTGTGATGGAACCCAAACTGCTGACTTTCTCCATATAGAAGTTAGATTTATACCTTCGTTAGTAGGAAAGCAATTAACCCTTTTTCTTAGATGGCTTTAAGAGATTTTCACTATATTAACTCTTCCAGCTGTGGTTTCTTTTATATTTAACATTTTCTTTGCAAATTTCTTAATTGTTTTAAAGTCAGGATGCAGAACCTTTTTTACGCTAAAGGTTTCAAGCTATAGTGGCTTTGCTTAAGAAAGGTGGAGCTAGAGATCAAGATGTAGCTTTTTAAAATCTTAGTCTGGGAGCTGCCTGTGGCCAAAGTAACTTGTGAATCTTGCTCTTAAGAGGCTTCAAATAAAGTTCTCCTGAGTGTGGTTTGAATCCTAAGGCCTTTTTCCCCCCTGCCTTGCTTGTTTTGCCAGAACCAGTATTTTTTTCTTTGCATCTTCTTTGGACTCAAACCATATCCTGCTAAGGCAACTGCTTGGCATAGAACATGGAGGAAGATGGGTGTATCTCTGAAACAATTCTTCCAAAATATACTTTTTCTTGAAGTGGGGTCATTTGTATGGGTTCTGACTTGGTTTCTCTGATCTCTTTCAGGAGATGATTTCCATGGAAAATAATCCTTATGACAATCTTTGTAGGTAGAATGTTGATGTTACAGGTTGGGCCAGATTTATTAGATGTGAAATCCCTGACATAATGGTAATGGTAATGTAATGGTCGTAAAAGGGCCTAGGATGGACATTAAAGAGGGTAATGTATTTGCATTATTACAGACCTTACAGTAAAAGTTAGTTGCAGTTTATTAAAACACTTGGCAGGAAAATGATTGCATATCCTCCAAATTACAAATGTCTCATTACATTCAGACAGAGTATCTAAATATTGTATTGTTCCTTTTCAAATAAATAGATACACAAGGTTTGTTACTGAGGGAAAAATGGCCTAACATCCATAATTTGGCATTGGGGTAAAATGCAGCACCTAGGCTGTTAACCAGTACAAGTTCCAGAAATTATATAATGCCTGTACTGAAAGATCAGAACTAATTGCCAGTTGCTTAACTGCACAATTTAAGGTGTTACTATTAATGGCTTAAGACCTAATTAAGGGGGACCATTTCTCCCATTATGAACTTGTCCAGTTGTTAAGATCTGAAGGTGAGCCATGTTTTTCTGAGCCATGAGAAAGGGCTTCCCCTGGGCTTCTTCCAGGCTACAAAATACACATCCCTGGGAGTAGCTTTTGCCTCTTCTACCCTCCTAGCTTTTAAAGAATTGAAAAATTTATTTTGCCAGGCTTTAGTTTTTAACTGATTTTAGCATTAATTTATATTTCTAACTTTTAAAATGCTGCTTTAGTTGTTAGCCACCTTGAGCACATGCCAGAGTAAGGCTAGGTCTATATTAACAAAATAAAGAAAAACTACGCAGTATTTTTGGTTGTAATGCTAAGAACTGCTGATCCAGAAGTAGCCAAGATTGTTACAGGAGAAAAGATGCATTCTGCATTCTTTCTAATAGAAAAGTGTGTGTGTTGTATGTTAGGGAGAGGACTCCTCTCCAATTCCAAAGCTAATTTTTGTGACTCCTCTCCTATAGAAAATATATATTTGCACATGTAAAACAGCCAGCCAGTCCTGCAGTCTTTTCTATCCACATTGAATTAAGCAGAATCTCTAAATTACTGATTCAGGAGTCGTAAGATTTATGTACGCTCCGTTTTTTTGTTTACCATCCCTTTACCAAAGGGAAGTGATTTCAGCTTACATTTTCCAAAAAAGACTTGTTGAATCTTGTATCCTCCAATTCACCAGAACAGTATTTTCAATGATAGTTGGTTGCATCTTTGGCTATGAAGTAATATCATTTTGAAAAATATCAAGTGAAATACATTGATGTGGGAATTAGCCCTTATCAACTCTGTCCATATGGCAGCTCCATGGCTCTGGCTTTTATTGCATTAAACAGGCTGCATTGTTAACAGGACTGCTTATTCTTGCTGAAGATGATATAATAGCAATTGAATGAAATAGCCTTGATCTGGGCTTGCTTCTTCATTTATGCTTGTTCCCTTCAGAATGGGGAAGAGAAAAAGTCACAGTGGAATAATAGATAATATATCCATCTTTAGTTTGCTGGCTAGATCAACCATTGCATGTTTGTCTAGATACAGCCAATCCAGTACTACTTAGGTAATGCTTTGCTAATTTTATGTTTTATGTTTTACTTTTTTCCCCAGATGTTGGCCTTGGGTTTTATGACAGGTACCATTGCTAGGTACTGCATGAGGGAGTAAATGAAAGCGGTAAGTCTACAGTGGGGCAAACATGCTGGATTTTCTCAAAAGATAGTGGCAAACTGGTGAATATTTATTGTTGGAAAATGATTAATAACCATAGGCTTGAGAAACAAAGCTTCCTATTTCCTTAAAACTGCCAACAAGCTGTTTTTTTACTTTTGTCCATAAATTGTCATCAGTGGTTGGGCATTGTGTTATGTGATTTATTTTTGCCATTGGCTCTTGGATGGCTAAGCCCTCTTTTAATATAAAAATAAAATCAGATTTTCCTCTTGTGGATGATTTTGTACTAGAACCATTATACAATTTGCATTTGGCTGCCCTCTTCAAGTCCTTATCAGTCTAATTTTCATACTGAAAAAACGTGAGTGAAAAGATGGAAACATTCTGAGCAAGGATTGAATGACTTTACCGATGAACCTGGTGAGCTTTTTAAAAATAACCGTTGAAGGATGGCACAGTAACATTTCTGGAAAGGTTCTGCCTTAACTTGACTAATATGTTCCTTATTTATGTGGGATTAGAATGAGTTGCACATGAGGATACCATTGAAGTTTCTTCAGAAACTTTAGTTGACCTTAGATTGGTGTCAGGGATATTCAGGTCATCTGTTGATCCCACAACACTCCCACTGGTTACCAGGTTGTTTCCAGGCATGATGCAAATTGGTGGTATTTATTTTTAAGAAGTAAACTGGCCTAGATTGAGAATATCTGACTTCCCCTATACCAGCCTGCTACTTTTTGCAGTCAGTCAGAGAGGCCCTTTTCTATATTCATTGAATACAGAAAGTAGAAGTTTGGATAACCTCATTATGAACACTTTCTGCCTGGCCTGTGAAGAATTTTCATTCTTGTGAATCTTGTATAATAATAACATTGATAAAAGAAATCCTAAACACATTTTTAAAAATTCTTTTTTGCAGCATGCATGAGACCAAGGCTGTAATCCTTGCCATGATCATCACTACAGTTATAACAAACACTGTTGCTATTTTCTTTTTCCAAACAAAGGTGAGTTGTCCTGTCACTTTAATATAGTTTGCAGGTTTGGGGGTGTTGATATGCCTTCCATAAAGCACCATCAACATGTTTTAATCTGACTTCTCAATTTTTATGATTATTCTGGTCTTTTTATATATCTCCATCAGGTGATTGGATAGATAGAATGTTAAGATAATTTATTTACTATATTTTTATTTTGCTAACTTTTTATATCACTGTATTCCTAACGTTGTGGCAGATTTTTACTAAACCAAGACTTGCTTTACCATTGTGTTAGCTATGATGTTGTTTATTTGGTTTGGACTTGGCATGTCATGTCATGTAAACCGAGCCATTGCAGTATTTAAATCATGGTTTATGGTTAAATGTGTGAACCCAAACTAATTGTGGCTTATTTCATAAACTGTGATTAAAACATGGCAGCTATGTGAACCTAGCCTAAAAGTATATATGATTTCATAATGAAATATTTTCTAAGCCTTTCTTGATAGCATGCCAAGCTAAAGGTATGCTGGTGTTGTTACGCAGCTGGCTCAATCAATTTAAAGGGATCTACTTCAAGCATGAGTCAGCTTTGTTACAATCTAAAGATTAAAAAAAGATTGTACAAGAGTGTGCTTCTACTCACTTTGTTATACAGTGGTGAAAGTTTGGTATGTCAGGAGAAACAAAAGGTACTTGAATGCAGTGGGAATGGGTCACTTAAAAAGTTTGTGTGGTAAAGCAAGAGGGATCGTCAAGAATGAATTGGTGCTGAATACAAAAGTGAGTGATCAGTGTGAAAGAAGTACTCCAGGATGGTTTAATCATGTAGAGAAAATGAATGAAGATCAAATCACAAAACAAGTATGGGAAGAAAGAGTATGTGGGTTGAGAGGAAGGGGAAAACCAAGGGAGTCATGGTTGGATGGAGTTGATGAGATCCTGAAAGAGAGGCAAGAAGTTTAAAGAACAAAAGGAAGTGTGTGAAACAGTATATTAACATGGGGGAAGCAAGGATGGTTTGCAAGGATGGAAAAGTATACAGAAGTACAGTGCATGGTGTTAGTATAAACTAGATTGAGTTATATTCGATTTTCTTTTTTTTCTCATCGCATCTCATTTCATACTCCCTTTTGCATTTTGCATAATATTGGCTACCCTATGTATGTATATATTGGACAATAAATAGTGTCGCTTGTGCTGTAATATATCATTCTCGTTGGCAAGTGAATCTCACAACCTGAACTGTTTTTTTCTGTATACTGGCAATTGTCCTCTTAATGACTTCTGTCATCACTACAGTTGTCCTGATAGGGAAATATGTAAGTGGCTGGAGTGGGCGACTGGTTGAAATATGGTTTTCAGAAGTACATGCATTAATTAATGTCTCTATGTGTTTTCATTTGGAGTATATATGCTTTGATTGGGAAGCTATGACAGATAATGAATGCCTCTATTTTTCTTTTCTAAAGAATTGATTCCCCTTCATTTGATTAAGGCCTGTTTTGAAATTCAGCTGTGGCCTTACAGAGCCCTTCTATTCATACTGTGTTGTCCCTTTAATAATGTTAACCGGGCTCTCACTAATTGACTGCTTGAATTTCCTCTTGCAGAGAAATGTAATTAACTGGATCTTACCTATCTTCTTCAGATCTATTGGGTCCATATGCTTTATTCAGCCATTTGTGCTATCATCTTTACCCTGGTTAGTAAGAAATTATTTCCTATTGCCCTGAGATGCTTTTTATGAAGATAATAGATGTACAGCATTTTGAACACTCTGTGCACTATGCAAAATAAGATCATGCCTGTGTAAAACAACTCAGCAGTTCATTGTCTAACTGGAAGTGATTCATCAGAGGCAGCCTTTCACTGACCTGTCATAAATAACAATAATATGAAATGCCTAAAGGATAAATGAAGCTGAAGAAGCACAAAAATAATAACAACTCTGGATGGTGGGTTTTGTTCAGCTTCTTCACAGGCCTGGCCTGTGATATTTTTATATTTACTATTATTTTTATATTTTTCTTGTTCTTGACTAAAAATATTTGGGAAATTATGCCATACCATTTATCTTCAGAGCAAATAGATGTGTGCTAAATCCAAGGGAGTGAGGTAAATATTGTGGGAGATGTTTATGAAGGGTCTGCTAGAAAAATGCCAGAAGTGCTTTGACTTCAGCCATGCGAACAAAATGGCAATGTTTGTATGTACAACCCGAAATTACACCTAATTAAGTTAAGCTTTGATATGTTCTAATAAAAGGAATTTGACAGTTTATATTAATGGCAAGTGGGGAATTTGCTGATTTTTTGGTAAGGTAAATTACTTGATGTGATGGGATCACTTCTTTGAGTGCTGCTTCCAATTAGAATATGGAGAGTGGTAAGGAGTACATCATTAAGAAACAGCTCTCTCTCTGGTTGTGGATTATAGGGATGCTAGACACTTCTGTTTTTTTTGATATTTTATCCCTTTATTATTTTTATAAATAACTCAAGGTGGAGAACATACCTAATACTCCTCCCTCCTCCTATTTTTCCCCACAACAACAACCCTGTAAGGTGAGTTGGGCTGAGAGAGAATGACTGGCCCAAAGTCACCCAGCCAGTTTTTCATGCCTAAAATGGGACTAGAACTCAGTCTCCTGGTTTCTAGCCTGGTGCCTTAACCACTAGACCAAACTGGCTCTCTTAATCACATGGTCACATGATTGCTATTTCCGATGTTCCCTGTGGGGTTCCCACAAGCAAAGTCAATGAGGAAGCTAGCAGGAATTTGAAAGTTGTGATCACATGAGGTCCTCACTTAACGACCCACGTGGTCCTCATTTAATGACAGCAACGGGGTCTGCTGGAATTGCTGTCACTAAGCAATGTGGTCATGTGACATTGCACTTTACAACCACATTGCTTAGTGACAGAGTTCCCAAGCCCAATTGCCATTGTAACCCAAGGACTACCTGTATCTCTGAAGAAAGGTTCACGTTGCATCCTAATATAAGTAATATTTATTTAAAAACAAAATGAATTATTTATAAAGTTTGATAGCAATCTTATTTAGAAGACTAGACTTACTAAGCAACTACACAATTTACCAGGCACAAGCATCAGACATATAATAAAGTTAATGAAATAAAGATATACATTATTCTGAAGTAAAATTTCAATTTAGTTGCACTCAGATTTCCATTTTGCTACATTAAAAAATTACTGTATTAAATTAAAAAAAGAATCTGAAATTTTGAAATGAAGCCAAAGGAACTCAACAGGAAAAGAGCATGTTGATAGGATCGCAAGAAACCATATAGATCAACCACATTTTAAATGAGAATGAAGCAACTGATTAAAGATACGTGGCAAGAAATGATTGGCTGGACACTTGCATCTTTAGATGATTTCTTGAACTATGAGACTAATTGCTGCTTTTGTGATTTCCTACAGTTCCTTGCTTATGATACTCGGTTGTTGTTGGGGAACAAGAGGTTTTCCATCAGTCCTGAAGACTACATTTATGGGGCAATCCAGATCTATGTAGATATCATCTATATTTTCCTTTCTTTTTTAAGACTTGGGAGCAGATGTTAGGGAATTTTTTGTTGGCAACTTAAGGAACATTGTTTTCAGAACAGAAGTATCTTTGCCTTCCCCCATATGAATCTGTTGTTTGCTTAATACTGTCATAACACATTCTTACAAATTTTGTTTCTGTATTATCATTCCCATTTTATTGTATTATGTGAAAGCACTGTATACTGTATGAAAACTCATTTTTGAGTATATGGGCTGAACCCAAAGTTCAGTAAACTTAAGTCCTCTGAAAGTATTATGATACTGTCAATGCATGCCCTAGTGGCTTCATTTGGATTTAATTAGATTTTCCAGGTCCAAGCCTAAGTTTTACTGCAACATCTGCATCCATGCCAGAGCTCTTACCTGTAACTATTAAAATTAGAATAATTCATTCATTCTTCCGTTAACATAAAACAATACAACTAGTATATTAATATAGCATACAGCATACAGCCAGAATGTTACTGTATTTCCCTCATAGCACATATACATTGGGAGGCTTGGTCATAGCTATGATCTTATTAGAATTCTTAGATTAGACCAAAGGCCCCTCTAGGCCAGGATTCTGTTTCGCACAGTGGCTTCTTGGATGCTGATGACAGGGCTGTTGTGGTTTTTCAATGACTAATTTAGTTGCCATTTTCTATACCTTTCCAAGCCATACAGTATCATTTTGGAATACCCAGTTGTCGTGATTGTATGTTGCTTACCAGTCATTCACAATACTGCAGGCTGCCAGTCAGACATGGAATACATTCTCATGAAGAGATTCTCTTTATCATGTATGTAGAGAGTCAGATATTCCAGCCCCTTCCTTAGCTGGAGACAGAAGTTTGGTTCTTTTAAAACAAAAGGCAGCAGTTGCTAGACTAAGACTGTAAATTGTAGAATTTACCATTTCCCCAGCAGCCTCCAATTTAAATGGAATTTTTTTACCCACCCAGACTGGAAGAAGTCCAGGTAACTGAAGTAAAGGAAACATGAATGTCAAGAATCTTTTATTTCTTTAGAAATAAAAAAAAAAAGTTCTAGCCAGGAACTTGCACAAGTTTTTGTGATGTGTCCAAGTCTAATGTTCTTTATTTCTTTATTTCTCTGTAAAAGTTAAAGAATTTGGTTTCATATCAGCCTTGAATCATATTGCAGGCATGTGCAAATAGATATACATTTTCTTTACAATTTCCTTGTGATCTGTAATATAAATTGGAATCCCTCACATATCTCTAGTAGGGATTCTACTAGAGCCTAGTAGGGATCATGCCATTTGTGGCAGACCAGCAACTGGTTGTGGTCTATCCAGAGCATTTTATTCCCTTCTGGACTCTTGTTTAATTTGCCAGCTACTGTTTTCCTATGGGTTTCTAATTTGCCAAAAGTGAATGCTTGTATTTTAATGTTTAAAATTTCTTTTTACGCTTTTTAATAAAACTTCATTTTGTTTGTCTCTTATTATGAGGTTGGTTTGTCTCCCAATAAGGAAGGGCTAAATCCTCTAGCAACATAATTCTACACTGCACTGCCAGGAAGTTACTGTACTCTACTGAAATTATTTCCAGCTTTTGCATCACAGGTTGTGAGAGACGTCTCTCATACACAGACTGAATTTAGGGGGTAGAAGGTGGGTGATAAACCCTTTAGAAAACAGATGATGGCAGGAGTAACTTCTGAGACAAGGATAGGATATGAAGATCCAGAGGGCTTCTGGGTTGAGACCTCCAATCTTCCAGCCTGCAGGCTCAGCCATCCGTTATACCAGTATTGCAAATGAATTGCATAGTATTTTTGATCTACATAATGCTGGCATTTTTATTTTCAATTCCTTTCTTAATGATTGCCACAATGTAGCTTGACTTTTTCAAGCTGCTGCTTTGAAAAAAGAGGATAGCTACAGTCATTCAGGAAAAGGGAATCACAATGAATAAATAACTATATGGTTGGCACTCCTCTTTATCATTGTGCTTTCTTCCCCAGATTAATTTTACAAGAAACCATTAAGGTGCAAACCACCTTAGATCTATTTGTGTAGGTGCAATTCCTCCATGTTTTTGTTGTTTTTTAACATGCACTGGCCTTATAAGTTACGTATGATTTGTGAGGTGGGAGCTGCTCAGTTTACATATTACAAGCATCAAACTAAGAGTAATACATTTTTAAGTGAAAATCATGCATTTAAGAGTATGGATGTTTTGTGTATGTGAAGAAATATGCCCAACTAATGAGAATAAAATGCATGTTTAAATAGTGGGGAGATTCTGAATATTTGCATAAAGCTATGCTATTTAATTATTGCCTAGTTATACTCCTGTAGTTCTAGAGAAGGCAGGTTCAGGACCATAAGATTGTTCAGAACAGACCTCTGAAGACAAAGGGTGACGTCTATTCCTGGAGGAGTAGATCTGTTGATGACCCTCCTAAAATCTGCACATTTACCTTTAGGCATTTCCACACAAACAGGGGTAAAGACAAAAGGGGGCCGAGCACCAGAGGTGTGTTCACAGGTGAATTTTAGCTCCCAGACTAAAATTCACCTGTGAATACCAATCTGCCTGTAATATAAATTCTCTCCCATTATAACCATTTGGATGAAAGGTAAAGAAAATCTGCAGTAGGAAGAGCAAATAAGTGGAGAATAAATCCTTCAAGTCTTTTGAAAAAGAAGCCCCTCGTGATCTCACCTGCACCCTGGATTGCTTTTCTTGTATAACGTCTAAGCAATGAGTGGTTTATGGAGCTGACTATGGCGAAATCTGCTCTTTTTGCCTTGTGTCATAGGATCATGTTATGATTATGCTAAGAAATGGACGCTGTGAGCGGAGTTGTGCCAATGTTGCATGATGATGAAATGAACATAGAACATAAAACTTCTGTAGAAAGCACGGGTAACAATAAATCTGTCAGCAATTACTACAAATGGAATTTTCTCATAACAATGTATTGTTATAGACAATGTGATACATTAAAAAGAACCCTGTAGTTTTATCACTAGTTTTAGGAAACTCAGACTAGGCTAAAACCTGTATGTGAAATCTGTGGGTTTACCTTGCCTGACTGTTGGAATGGAACCAATTAGCTTGCCATTCACTCAAAACTGCAAGATTGCTTGGATTCTTCCTAACTATCTGCAATAAACTGCTCTGTACTTTTTAATTTTTAAAATATTTAATGAGCCCAATATTTCACGTAAATTTGGTAAAGGTGCAATGGTGTGATCTGGTGTCATCTGCTAGTCATAATATGAAGAAATACAACTGAAAGAACACACAATTATTCCTAAAATAAGCTGCTCACAAAGTAGAGAAAATAAAGTACAACTTTATTGGGTTCTCATGGCCCACATTATCATTGCTCCTGTGGCTTAATCTTTAATTATCCAGACTTACCATTAAATTCCTTCAAAGCAAAAAAACTAGAATACACTTTAAGCCAGACCACTGTGTCTAATGCTGAGGATTATTGTTTGATGGGAATTTATGATAACCTTGATTCATAGAAATGCAGAATGAGAAATCAGTTAATTTGAAATGCTCTGCAGCACAGTACTGTGCTTCAAATAAGTACCAGAATTTGAGAAGCTGAAGACAGTAACTGAAGGATTGAAATGTACAGTTCCAGTAGTGCTACCATCCAAAACTAGTCTTAGTTTCTAGATGCCTTTCTGCTCTTTTGATGCTATGCTGTTTTGTGTAGAATCATATTCTTCTTTATTGGCTGCCTTCATCTGTTGGCGAGCTTTCATCTGTTTCACACGTTTCTTCTCCACTTGTTTCTTAGCAAGGAAGAAAAGGGCGAATGCAGAGGGCAAACCAATGACCCTGAGGAGATTAAAATAAGCTAAAAAGCATCTGGAATTTAGACTGAAGAAGGCAAGACAACTACCTCCTCCCCCTGCACTGAGAAAAACATGAAATATTTAGTTGTTTTTTATTTAATACAATTTAGGGAATGCACAGGAAATATAAGGGATACGATTTTAGACTGGGAAAATTTAGGTTCTAGGCCACAATTCACCATGGACTTCAACTGGGTGATTTCGGGCCAGTCACTATCTTATAGAATTGATTCTTGAAGATAAACATATGTACCATCATCAGTTTCCAAAAGATACAAAGATAGT